CTCGCCTATCCTGCAAACAAAGAACGACGGCTAATGAAAAAAGGACAAAAATTTATTAGAACAATGCTTAATTCAAAATATAATAAAGCCTCATTATATCGAAATTCGAGTGGCCAAAAAATAAATGACATTTATCTAAGCTAGACCAAAAATACCTAAGTCAAATAAAATTGCATATGGACCAAATTATAGCGTGATATTCAATCAAATAAATTAGATTTATTTTCAAAGATCAACGTAAAATTATGTTATAAGAAATGATGTTTACAATATATTTACCCCAATAATACAAAATAAATTTATGACAAGTAACTGAGCAACAGACCGTACAACAACGGACGCAGCTACTACTTCTCGCGCTGGAGATCAGTAAAGTGCCCAAAGTACAGTAGCTTTGCTTAGTTATCGTTTTCTATGAGAGACGGACGCTTGCTCTGCATCCTAAGTTACTGGCGCCAAGTGTAACTGTATAAATCATTCACGCGTTACCCAGTGAACTCAAGATGATGAAGGCAGAAGACACAATTTTACGAACATCATTTGTTCAAAAACTTCATTTCAAATTATTTAGAACCAAATGTACTGAGATTATGGCACTGGAATTATCAAAGTACTGTAGTATAAAATTTGTTAAATTGAACATAACGCTTAAACGAAACTTTGAATCATGTCGAACTTGGTAGTTTCAAAACAGGTTTTGCCATATCAGGAAAGGGATATAATAACATCTTTGGACCCTTGGATAATTTGTTTTTCCATACGCGTGTGATCCAGCTTGAAATCGTTGCCTGAATTTGTGCATCATGTCCAAATCCCTCTAAACGGAAGAAGAAACTTGTCGTTGTCAATCAGGGAACAAAATTCAAGCCATTCGAATAACTGTACGAGAAATCACAGTTGATCCAAACTCTGCAACAATGATCGATTTGGGGATATTGATAAAAGAAGCATCTTCACTTTTCAGTGTATGATTTAATTTAATTTATAATGAAATCCTAGAACGTCTTAGCAAGGTAATTAAACGAATGCAACGTAAACAAAGAGATCAAAGACGTATAACGCCGTTAGACGATCCAGTAAAATTTTCTACCTGATCTTTCGTAACTTTGCCAACGCTGAAGTACTTTGCATGAGGACATGCGATGTAAATTCCACACACCGAAGAAGCCGGCTGCATAGCATAAGATTCAGTCAATGAAATGCCGGTATTGGATTCAACATCCATGAAGTCCCAAAGTTTCAATTTCTCGCTGTGATCCGGTTGCGTTGGATAACCGGGCGCAGGTCGGATTCCTTGATATGTAACTTTTGTCAAATCAGAGGGCGTTAAACCTTCATCCGGTGCGTAGCCCCAAAACTCCTTTCTGACACGTTCATGAAGTTCTTCCGCAAATGCCTAAAAAGTTTGAACTGTAAAAGCAGACGACGGCGTGCATCGTTTCATACAAGTTACAATGAACAGTTAGTATCACCGACCAAAAACAATATCTGTCATCAATAAAATCAATGATACACTGATTCACTATCGTCACTGTTGATAACAAAACGACATGCAATGAATAACCCCTTACATGCAACGTCAAAGTACGGCGGACAGATTGCCATATCCTGAAGACCTGTTATGAACTATGCAGTAGTCGGCTAATGAGGTAATGTTAATCAAGGCATCGTTACGATTTCTTTGGTTATAACCATCTAGGCAGCGTAAAGAACGCTACTTCCTCTTAATTTAATAATATGATTCATCAAGCATAAATTTGGACAACGTCTTGATCGTTTACATTCTAGCGATTGAAACAACAGATACGTTAAAGTTGAGTCAAAAACTCACAACCGCAATGCTCAACATAAGTAACAGACTCACATTATCGACTGTTTTTCAGTTTTCATCGTCTTTGAACGCCTTTCTTATTTACGTTATCTTTAGTAATATCAGTTGGCTGCACATGAAATGAATGTCATCCAAACTGTGCTGATGCATCGGTGAAACCGATGTCAGTTCATCTTAAGGAACAGTGTTCTATTAGTTCTGAAAGGCAAGATAAGAACTTTAAAATTCTAGATGGCCGAGTTCTACAGTCCGCCGTACACACTCAAATTCTAATGACATAGCGAGCATCGAAAATGAATGAATGCGTGCATGGATGAATCACTAAACAAAAGAATGAACTATTAAATGAAAATGGAAATGTAAGTATAAATGAGATATGTAAATGAAAAAATGGATAAGCATATGAATAAACAAGTGAGTCAGCTAGTGAATGATTGAATGAGTGTAAGTGTGAATGCGTGAATAAACGAACAAATTAACTTGAGAGCAACGACATCTGTCACCTTCTGATGGAGCTGTCGTCTTATCTCGCGTTTTTCTGAAGCAAAAACCATTTAATAATACCTCAGACAGACGATCGGCCAACGCCTTGCACATGATGCTGCTGTAATCGTCTGATTCCTTCTCGTACTCTCTGCAGAGTTGATCAAGATTTATTCCTGTCGTTACGGCGAACATTCCTACGTAATCGATAATCTCGGCGTTGTACGGTAGCACAAAGTCTGACAAACAAAGATAATGATCGTTGCCTTCCACCATCTGCTGACGTAAGCAACATAAAGTACCCAGATGATTTTCTTGCGACGCCGTGACGTCGAGATGTGGTCTAGAAAACGCCATTTGTTGCTTAGAAACGAATGTCTCGTTAAAAACATGTTTACTTCAAGATCACGATGTCGTCTCCCTGTCGATATGCTGGAAATATACCAAAAATGCCATTCGCCGTAATCAACGAACAGTCCACCATGCGACGCAAATACGACTGCGCTTCTTTGTAGACCTGCTTTGCCTGTTTCCCTACGGTAGGGTCGTTAAAGAGCTTCGGAAAAGTTCGGTTCGGATACAAGCCTCGCAACTGCCACACGTCAAAGAACGGCCGCCAGTTGATATACGGAATCAAGCGACGGAGGTCATAGTTTTTGAATACTTTGATGCCAAGCACTTTCGGGGTAGCTGAAAAATCGAGTGAAACATGTTCAAACATACAACGGCATAACTGGACAGAACGAACCTAAAAAATATGATAATGTTCTAAGTTTAATAAGTTGACTAACTCGAAAAACAACCTATGTTTATTAACCATGACTGAACCTCTCCACCAGAGCCCTCCATAGCGACTGACCAACTGCCCTGATGCTTTTAATTTTAAGTCCAACTCTCTCTCTCTCGTGCTCTTCCTTCCTTCAGCCGCTACACTACATGCTGAACTTCGATTAAGAAGACCGCGCGAAGCTGTTGGAATGATGGCGGGGAGGACGCGTGCTTTGATGCAAAGAGCTGGTTGTAAGTTCTGACTGTAAATTGACTGGCTGTTAAGTTGTAAGTTAAAAGTTCATCTACATATATCATTTAAGGAAAACTGTTGTGACTACTGTTATGACTCTTGTCTCATGAACTCGACAGAGGAAAAAACGTAGACTCTTCAAACGTACTTACTGGGGTGATAGTCTGAACTATTGACGAGAAGAGCCTTTTTTCGCGCCTGATCGATTGAGAGGTACTGCACATTCTACAAACCGCAACAGAATATAAGAAGATATGAAGGTAACTTGATTGAACAATAATGAAACAAGGCGATTGGTGCTTACACTGTCACAGAAAATGCTCCTAATTTATAATACGTTACTTTTTACACTTTGCAGTTTCTTTATTAAAGGAGGGTACTCGTAGTCGACGTTAGCGGAACAACTAATTAAATTTTACACCAATGATGAGGTAACTGTTCCCACATTTAAAGCGATGAGTATTTGACCCTTTTAGTTACCGCGGAAAGAGGCATACCCGCTTACCGAAACCAATTTGGTCAAAATTTTAGATCCCTGTCCAATAAAGAAAATAATTATTGTCGTTTCCTGATAATCGAAGAGAGTACGCCTTGAGAGACTTCCCTCTGGCAAACAGATCATTTCAGAGAAGAACTTGCTTGCGACGAGAAACATGACCTTTGCCGCAGCAACCAACATCACCTAAATTCACCTGAGAAGCTAAAGCGTCAAACATCATTAATCTGGGTAATCCGTCTTGGACACTTATACTCCACACGACAATGACAACAACAACAAATCGCTTCTACAACTTTTCCTCGATTTGAATAAGAAACAAAGCACAAGCGATGGTACATCAGAATTCAGTACTATAAAGCATGTCGAACCTTGCTACATAAGAATTTCGACGAAGTAGCTTCATGTATATCACTATATGTGAGATCGCATTGTTTCGGTTAGTATCAAACACTGATAGCTGTAAATGTGATCGCAAGGCAGTCGATACAAATGAAAACGACGATTCGTTCTGTAAACGTTTGTTCTCAAAGACTAAGGCCCATCGAAGACCAAATTCGATTAGGTCAAAATATTCCCTCCTGGATTATCTGTAAGTGTAACATTCTGAAAGCCATATCTGATGACCACATTTTTTACGCTTATTTATTTTATATTGGTTTCAATAACTCCAGCCTTGACATATACGAGGCGGAGAACGGGCAGTCACCAAAGTAATGAACTATGTAGCATGGTAGAAGGCATATTCCAGAGCCACGAAGTTCTGTTATAATCCTTTACGTGGTCTGCTAACAAAGCACTGATGATTGGGTTTAACGGACTCAAAATCAGAAGCATCAACAGATACCTTTCTGTCGTCGTATTCAGGAACATATCTCAAACCTGTGAACTTTGAAGACTTACTTTTGATTCTCTTTCCATCGTGACTAACTCTTTTGGGTCGAATGAAGTAATTTCAAGGGAAACGCTAGATATCAACCACTCGTTCGATGGACATGCGGTTGGTTTACAACCGAGAAGTACAATCAGCATAGAAAACGCCATGAATAACAATGCTGAAGCAGTTCATCCAGTATGTAAGAGTTGGAAAAGCTACACCCCACAACATCGAAGCTAATCGATAGGCTTCATAAAGTGCAGAGAGGACAGAAAACTTTTTCGAAGAACAAGTTGTTTCCGGCATCAGCAACAGCCAAGTTAAGAAAGTATCTTAAAGTAGATAACAGAATGATGACAAGCGTGAAGGCGTACCGTAAATGATAGCATAGTTGCATATTTCAGAGCATAAATTTCAGAGCATTAAATGACGAAACACTGAATAATTTAAGTTTGAAACTAAACGGTAAACCTAAAAATCAAATATGTGATTAACACATGCATTTAAAACCCTACAATGGCGCTGTTTAATCAGGCGTAAATAAAGTGTTATGACGTTAAAATAATATCATAATGTTGTTACGCTCATAAATCATCATTATCGATGATGGTTTTATTAAAGGAACACCATTCTAAGGTTCCATAAACTTTTCGCTAATTAAATATTTGCTCTCTTGGCCTGTCACTTTTCAGTATCTTGCTTTTAACTGCTTTTGCGTTGTTTATTAGTTCCAGCACTGAAAACAGCATAAAAAACAGCCTCTATACAGAACCAAACAATTTATCAATCGGATGATTGAGAAGTACCCACGTTTCAGTTCGTATCTCACTGACCTTATCCCAAGTAGAGAGATGTTCGATTTCAGAAGTTCTTTCTGTGTTTCAAGCTGTTCAGACGCTTGGAGGCTGATCGCAAAAGAACCGAAAGAATTTCTGAAGCGAAACTACCTCTCTACCATGAAGAAGGCCCATGAAGCACGGTAATCATCTGATTAACCATACTGTTTGAGCTATGTACAAATAAACTCTTTTATGCTGTTTTCAGTATGATCACCAACGCAAGATCAAAACACTCAATTTTCGGATAGTTTCAGCACAGATGTAAAATTTTTGTAAATTAAATTTCAGGCGACAAATAAATCATGTTACTTTAAGTTAGCAGGGTTCGCTATATAAATTTTGAGAAACGATATTAGCAACGTACCAATAGTTATAACACTAATGCATAAACAACACTGACAGTTGTTCTGTTCTCAATCGACATCTTGATAAGGCGCAACGGTTAATATATGACAAATTTGGCATGGCACAGAGGAGACTGTTGGCTGTACACCACGCTTCTTGCATGGCATTTTTGAAACTGAATCAATGGGCCTGCACGGAAACAAAACAAGTGGACAGGCCAGACAGCTCCATGCCTGATTGTCATATACACTTAGCATATCACAAGAGTGCTCGTTGTAAATAGAGAAGCCGCGACAGTAGCACTCCCCGGACTTAATCACTTACAGGCTATTGCAAACAAATCAGAAAATAAAATGAAAATCTTAGAAGATCATAAGTCTGACAAATGCTTCAACTCCGCTGTTGCAACTCCCATGGTCGGATGAATTAGAAGGGTTAGTGAATGTGCTGAAGGCTCACGTAACACAGCCATCGGCCCATTACGATATTGACGCTATCACACGCTATATAGGCTCGGCCGTCGTTCAGGTGAACATGGGCCGTAGGCTGTTGGGGAAATGAGGGAGACTGAGAATCTGCTTCGTGCATTCCGGCCGCAGATGGACCAGAAAAAGATAAAAATAAAAGTCAGCAAAGCAGTCGCTACTCCCTCTGAAAGGATGAGACAGACAGCCTGATGCCACTGGATAAGGTTCCACGGGAACGATACCGACAGTGGAAGCAAACTATCGAAAATTGTTGCACAATCG